AGCGTCTTCGCTCTGACTTAGCCTATGGGAAGGCCAAGAAGATAGAGGCCAATGTGGCCAAGATCACAACTCGTCTAGCTGGGTCGAGCTTTGCCACTATTCAAGCCGAGAGGTCTGAGAAAAAGAGGAGGTTGAGGAAAGTAGGTAGCCAAGGTCCCTCAAGAAAAGCCAAAGTCTCGAAAGAGAAAGGGGGTGATACTCCTGAGGCGAGCGCTCTTACACAAAAGAGTGTGGCAACTCAATCTTCGAGCACGACATCGCTCCCCCTAAAAGCTACTGAGAGTGGACCTTCTATTAATTCTGCCCAAGAGACTCCATGAGCCAAGTCCACAGATGTTGTTATCGTTAATGACAAGTCCCCTGCACAGGATAAGGGGACTACTATTGTGGTAGTTTGTAAAACCCCGTATTTTTGTTATATAGATATATGAATTATTAGTGATAAATAATTCTATTGTGGTAAATAACTTGAGGTCATGGATATACTTGATAACAAGTTATTAGAGAAGTATGAGTGTAATTATATGGAGTTTTATGCATTGGTTTTGATAATTTAGCAAAACATGCACGAATCTGGAAAATGTCGGCTTAGTCGACTCATGAGTCGACTTATGAGTCGACCAATGAGTCGACTTACGGGGAGATTTCCAGATTCTTTTTTTTGCGGGTTTGGTTTGGTTTTGTTTCGGGTTTGACCGCTTATATAAAATCTATTCTACCCGAAACCAACCCAAAAGACCCATCAGAATCCCAGAGAAACCCTAGCCCCTCTCTCTCCTCAAACCCTAGTTCGTTTTTGGTGATTTTTGGGGGATTTTTGGGGGATTTTCGGAGGATTTCAGCGGGTTTTGGCGAGGTGCGGCGAAGGGAATCATCCTCTCTCGAATTTAGGAGTCGTTCTAGCATACCAGTGGCGAGTAACATCTCGCCCAGCCCTCACTCACTGTTTGTATAGTTTTTTTGAGTTTTTATTTCGGATTTTTGAGCCTAAAACGTATTTTTGTGCATAAAAATAGATGCTTTACGTTATAAGCGGCAAGATCTATATTTTTCAGTTAGTAAAAAGCTCACCAACGTTTTTGTAATGTAGATCCAGATCTGGAATTAGTTTTAAACATGAGTTTCATGTGATTTAATGTTTTCAATATGTTTTTAAACATTTATAAATATGTTTAGGATTTTAATGTAAGATATTACATGCAAATCTCTCGTTTCTGTTGATACACACATAATCTAAAATATGTTGCTTGACATGACGAAAAAGAACTTTAGTTTAACGTTTTTGAAGATAACCATCGTATGCAGCAATACTGGGGATTTTCTGTTCAGTCGACCAATGAGTCGACTCATGAGTCGACTTATGAGTCAACTGATGAGTCGACCAATGAGTCGACTGACGAAAAAATTAACAGTTTTGTGTTTTGTTCTGATCGACCAATGAGTCGACCAATCCCAGTTGACTCATGAGTCGATTGATGAGGAATTTTCCAGTTTTCTCGGTTTGGATCTGTTTGGGTTGTTTCAGTTTAACTGAAACTGTTTATGCTTATTTATTGTTGTTGCGTGCTTTAATATGAATGAGGAGTCACCTCAAATAACGGGTATTAGAAATTATTTTTCAACCTGTATCTTTACATGTGAGATGACATGCAGACACGAGTTTAGATTTGCACACCGAGACACGTGAGAAATTAGGGTATATGCATCTGTTCATATATTTTATCTAGTCCATGTGTTGGGCAATTATGATGTGTAGTCCATGTGTTGGACATTTATCACATTCAGTCCATGTGTTGGACAATCTTCATATGCAGTCCATGTGTTGGACATCCACTACATCTAGTTTTAGTCCATGTATTAGACATCAGTTTTGACCTTGAATTTGACACCTATACTTGCATAGGCCGGACATGACACTTATATGGGTTGTTACATGACCTGGTATTTAAGTTCTGAGATGAGGTTGTATTCTTTTATTATTATTCATGTATTAGATTTTGGGTTTGGTATTTAGGGATTTACAATTTAAGATACAATGTATATATGTGATGGTTTCCTTGTCTGGATTATTTCGCTCGACGTACCTATGCTCGTGTTGTAATTTCCTAAATACTAAAATCCTCTTATACATAGGTATTTACAATTTGAGCTACATGGTATATACATGAGGGTTTTCTTGTTTGGATTATTTCGCTCGACGTACTCATGCTCATGTTGTAATTACCTAAATAGGATCAGTGATTTTATATATATATTATAACTGTATTTTTTGTATTCAACGAGCCCTTTTCCTTACGGTTGGTTGTGATGTTGCTCCCTAGCGCTTTGATGCTCGTTGTCCCTCCCCCTTTCAGGTAACGAGCCAGGAGCCCGGAGAGTCGCAGGTTGATGGCGACGCACTTTAGCTTCAGCCGTTTATTATAGTTATATTTTTCTTTTGAACTCCACTGTAGACTTTTGTTAGACATTTGAGAGTTTGTTCTAGAAGTTGTAAAGGTTGTGTGCCTTATTTCTTTTTATTCAGACATTTGTATATGAGACTTGTTGAGAAGTTCCGGTTTATTCATTTCAGACATTGACTTGTACTTCAGTATGTTAGATGATGAAATACTAATTTGATCTCTATTATTTCATCAGTTGACTCTTGTATTATCTTTTACTTGCTTTTGTACCTACACCTGTTATTGACTCTACTAGAGAGATAGTAATTGTGATGGTGAAACATATTATTGCACGGTGTGGTGCATAGCAAGTTTGATATTCTTGGTTTTACCTTAAACTATAGCCTTATGTGAACCCAGGGGCGTCACATAGTTGACATTGAGAAGGTTGAGGCTTGAAAAGAGATGAAAGTGGCCTCTGTCGCATTTGCCGAGTCGACTTGACGATTAGATAAGGAGTCGGCAATTGAAGAGGTGCTTCCTACCTAGGGAGATAGTCTTGGGTGGTCATTCCCTCACCGTATTAATGAACTCCTGCCAGAGGCATGGCGAGAAGTTGAGAAAGTTATTGATGGTGAAGCCTAAAGTCGGCCCCGGATATGATAAGGAGCTGTCAGGGAAAAATTTATTCGTCCTCAGGCAGCACCTTGACAAGAGGGTTCAGTCTTGGAATCCAAGACAATCCAAGCTAGGGCTCTAGATCAGTTCTTAATGCCTAGAGATGATGAGATCGTCTCTGCTACGCCCAATTATGGTCTCCACCAAACCCTAAAGAGTTAATTTACTTTAGGGAGCTTTGGTGGATCAAGAACTATTTCGGTGCTCTAAGCACAACTTGGATATCTACTTCAAGCTCTAAGAAAAATTGAAAGCCGAGAAGGCGGCTTCAGAGGCGGCCGACCTAAAACTAGCTGCAAAGGAAAAGGAGTTAGCTTGCTGGAAAAGAGGCCAGAGCAAGCTAGAGTGGGAGGTTGAGATCCAGGATGACAAAATAAAGGGATTTCTTAATTCAAATAGCCTAAATTCGTTCCAAATAAAGAAGCTTCAAGAAGACCTCGATCACCTTGAGCACGAGCTTCGTGAGTGAGATGAAATGATAAGGTATCTGAAGAAGGAGATCAAGGTCGAGAGGCAGGAGAGTGTCGATGTTTTTTAGTGAGATCTAGTGGCTTACCAAGATGCTCAAGGACTGAGGGATAACCTAAAGAAGGAGGAGAGCACTCAAGAGAAACTAAGGAAGGAGTTGGAGCGACACTGTGAGTCATCCCGTATAGAGAGGTAGTA